TGATACTGATGCTGATGGTTCTGATGATGCTGCTGCTGCTGCTGATAATGATGATGATGCAGACGATGTTGCTGATGAGGATGATGATGATGATGATGATGATGATGATGATGATGATGCTGATGATGATGATGATGATGCTGGCATATAACGATGGCGATGCTGTTGGTGATGCTAACTATGCTGATGCGGCTGGTGAGGCTGCTGTTGCTGATGACGATGCGGCTGCTGATGATGATGCTGATCAGGAAGAGGAGGAATATGAGGAGGAGGAGGAGACTCAGGATGAGGAGGACGATGAGGAGAACGATGACGATACCACGGAGGCGGAATAGGATGCGGAGGAGGAGGAAACGTATGCGGATGATGAGGATGACGACGAAGCTGAGGATACGGATGGTGAGGAGGCGGAGGAAGAAGGATGAGGATGATCAGGATGCGGATGATGAGGAGGAGGAGGAGGAGGACCTTGAGGAAGAGGATGCGGATGCGGAGGAGGAGGAGGAGGAACACGGATGATGATGAAGAGAAGGAGGAATATGAGACGGAGGAAGGGACGGATGCGGAGGTTGAGGAGGAAGACGATGCAGCTGAGCAGAAGAAGGTGTAGGTTGACGAGGACGAAGAAGAGAACGAGGAGGAGGAGGAAGCGGAGGAGAAGGATGCGGAGGATGAGGAGGAAAATGACGAGGATGAGGAGGAGGATGAAGAGGCGGAGAACGATGATGGTGATGTTGCTGCTGCTGCTGCTACTGATGATGATGATGCGGATGACGAGGAGAAGGAGGAGGAGAGGGAGGAGGATGATGAGGATGCGGATGAGGATGAGGAGGAGGAGGAGGAGGAGGATGCGGATGCGGATGCGGATGCGGAGGAGAAGGAGGAGGAGGGGATTGAGGAGAGGAGGAGCCGGATGAGGGAGGTGGCGGACAACGAGGAGAAGGACTATGAGGAGGAGGAGGAGGGGAGGGTGGAGGAGGAGGAGGGGAGGAGGAGGAGAGGAGGCGGATGCGGATGTGGATGCGGATGCGGATGCGGAGGAGGATGAGGCGGAGGAGGAGGAGCTGGAGGAGAGGGAGGAGGAGGAGGAGGAGGAGGAGGAGGAGGAGGAGGGGAGGAGGACAATGAGGAGAAGGACTATAAGGAGGAGGAGGAGGAGGAGGAGGAGGAGGAGGAGGAGGAGGAGGAGGAGGAGGAGGAAGGGGAGAGGAGGAGGAGGAGGAGGAGGAGGAGGAGGAGGAGGAGGGGAGGAGGAGGAGGGAGGAGGAGGGGATGAGAGATGAGATGTCAGGAGGATGCGGAGAAGGAGGTGGAGGAAGAGGAGGATGAGGATGCGGAAGAGGAGGAGGAGGAGGACCAGAAGGAGGAGGAGGAGGAGGGGGAGAATGAGTAGGAGAAGCAGGGGGAGAAGGCGGAGGATGATGATGATGAGGAGGAGGAGAGGGAGGAGGAGGAAGAGGAGGAGGAGGATGAGGAGGGGGAGGAAGAGGAGAATGATGATGATGCTGCTGCTGCTGATGATGATGATGATGATGAGGAGGAGGAGCAGGAGAAGGAGGAGGAAGAGGAGGAGGAGGTGGAGGAGGGCAAGGAGGAGTATGCGGAGTATGCGGAGGATGAGGAGGAGGGGGAGGAGGAGGACGAGGAGGGGGAGAAGAAGGAGCTCAAGTCACCAGGGGGGGGAAAGCAAGGAAACGGCCCGAAGTGTCGCCACGACTTCCCGAGACGGGCGGGACGTCGGGGAGACCCTGCGTGCCCTCGGAGAGGGCGTCGGTGCGGCTCCCTACCACGTGCTGCCAGAGGTGCCCCTGGCCCGAGGTGCCCCCTGGACTTCCCGAGATGCCCACGACGACAGACGACAGACGACAGACGATAGACGACTACGCTGACGACGACGACGCTGACGTCGACGATGATGACGAAGACGACGACGATGACGACGACGAAGTGGACAACGAGGGAGGGCTCCCAGAGAAATACGACCTCTGACCAGCCGCGCACATCTCTCACACCTCAGCGGGGCAAGTCGCCTTGCCCTTGACATGATGAGACTGAGCCGGGGCGAGGACGAAGCAACACGAGGACGAGGAGGACTGAGAGTGGGCAGCGTGGTCACCAAAAGTGGCTGCCACGAGCACCTCCCGCTTGATACAACGGCCAGGGCCATCAGTGAACAATCCCCAGCGGAAGTAGGAGGAGGGAGATGAGGAGAGGGTGCCCGTACTAGAAGAATGACAATAAGAAGCATCGGCACAAACATGAAATTCTGACGGTCCGCGCGGATTTCTTGGGTCGGCGCTGAATCCCCTGGCAGCGCCTCTGGCGCCGCCCCTGACGCGCTCTGCGCGCCAAAGAGAAGGGGTCCAGCGCCGACCCAAGAGATCCGCGCGGACTCTTGAAAGCTGATGCTTGTAGTTTCTTGTTACCTCGATGGACGGCTTCCAGGGCACACCTCTCACGAGGCCCAGGGGGCCACGTAATCCAGGACCAGTCAGCATTG